ATACTTTCCCGATTATTTTAGCGGTTGAATATGCATACAACATGAATTCAGGATTTGTTTTTATTCACAACTCAGAGTTGCCGCCTCCAGTAAGTAAGATTCTTGTGACATGTGTGAGTGTGATATCTCCAAGCCCTATCTGGTCCCATCTCACTTTGATTACCCTGTCAAACAAGTCAGCCTTCGCCCCTGATAAAGGGGATGGGAAGGGTAGCCTGATACGCAGCATTTTTTTTTTTAGAGTTCACATATTCTGAAATGTTAAAATGGGCTTTGCAATTGAACCAAATGTCATAGTGGAAATGTTCACGCTTTACAAAACGATCGAGGAACCAAGAACACATTGGCATCATCTAATTATCCCCGCCAGCCTCAGAAATATGAAAATGCACTGTCTTAGGTTAAGATCTGTCTAGAGAATGCAGACCATTAAGGAGTAGGGAAGTCTAAGCTGCAGACATCGTCTGGGGACAGACGTCTCATGGGACTCAACTACTGGATTTTGCACCCTTGTGATGTTTAAATGATGCGTATTTGTTTTGTTTTTGGAAATTTCTTGCTCGGATTCTCTTCAGATCAAAACTGGCAGAACTTCTCTACCCTTGACATCAAAGAATTATGTCAGTATCATGAGCGAAACTTACGAAATGTCAGGGATGGTGAGTTGGTGGCGAGGTTCAAAAAAAACAAGAAAACTCTTTGCCCTTTACTAATCCCAACCATAATCTCAGAAGGCAAGGGAAACTTGAAGGAAAAAAACCCAATACTTCTGTTGGTTTGCAAGACTGTTGTAGTATGCAATATGGTTGAGACTTTTAGAGGTAGGTTTAATGCGAACTGGTAGGCAGTGCTATAGAGCAAAACTATTCCGTGGAATAATCTAAAATGAATATCAGCCAAATTCCTTTTGGGTATAAAATGCTGCTTTCAATTTTGAAACGCAAATGTTCATTGTGGAAGAAAATATTTAACAAAAAATTTGTAATGGTTTAGTTCATTTTTATTTTATTCTCTTTTTTTCCCTTTTTTTTTTTTTTTAGATCATCTTATATATATGAATCTTTGTGGTTCCGCTGGAAGTCAGTGCGAAGAACAAACGTTCATTTGCATTTTCAGCTGTGAATGCGACTGCAAGTATTCACAAGAACCATCAACTAAGTAAAGAAACAAGAATCAGTTCGAATTGTTTGTATGACTTGTGCAGGAATGTTATCAAGATTCATTTATAAGAATAGCAAAGGCTTTACCCTCTTCACTGCCTTTTGCATCTTGACAGGTGATGATCTTTCAGCAATATTAATGCATAATAACACTGGTCTACAATGAATTTGCTTCCTTTTTTTTTTACTAATGTGTGGGCGCTGGATTGGAAAATGATACCCGTTTTCTATGTTTAGGTCCTGGTTTTTTTTTATATAGCCTGAGGTAGGGTCGTTTTTCCTTAATTCATATGGCGAAAAAGACAAAAGGCACTTGGAATTGGTCATTTCAGGCTGCAAGTATGTTTTAGTTGTATGATGCAGTTGTATGAAAGTGTCATCAGTTTTTAAACAGCATGGTACAACATTTTTTCTCTGTTGCTTCAATGTGAGCATTAATTAAGTTTTTAATTAGCAAACAGAGTGTTTCAGAACCACAAAAACAGATATTTTTACAGTACCCCAATACTCATTATGCCTCACCATTGTGTAAACATTCCTGACAATTTCTGTTAGATTTGTGGCGAAACAACGTATACTGCACAACAGGGAACAATTGCAAACTTTTAAAAGGCCTACCGCCTTGTCTTTGATTCAAAGTTAGTAACCATGACAAATGTTGGGCTCCTCGCGTTGACCTGTGTGTGTCACAAACCATTGCCATGGTGGAAATGGAAAATAAAACACCCATACCCTTTGCAGGGCAAGTGGTTTGGCGTGAACAAAACAGCCATTCAGATTACTGCTACATAATATGTATTGTGCAACCAGAAAGAAAATAATTGATTAAGGGAAATCGGAAGTACAAAGATGATCATCATGATAATCCACCTACCCTACGCCAAGTACTACACAGCGTAACATTTAACAAATTCTTGTTGAGCCTGAGACATTTACTGAATAGAAAGAAGTGGGAGAAAATACTCATGAAGAATAGTATGAAGCTTCGAAATTTTCTATTAAGAATACACCCTAACAATATAACCATGCAAAATGGATTGAACGCCTTCTCATAGACTTACAGCTGCCAAAACGTAAAGTTTTGAGTTCAAGGCTCCAGCATTGACATTTGTTAGCCGACGGTCTGAGAGTGAACACATTAAGAAATCGTGGAAATAAGTTTCAGCCATTGTCCACAATAAGGAGCAACCTTATGGCATCTAACGTTTTATGAATGTGGTTATGTGAGTTAAGTACCAAGATATTGCAGCTATGGAAACTGACATCAGGGCAAATGAAGTTATATGTTAGCAGATTACTGTTGGATAGTTTTAGAAAAATGTACCACAACTTGAATACAG